GGAAGCTTCAGGTGGAATGCGCCAAAGCGCTCCTGGCAAACCAGAGACTGGAGGGCTGCTTCGCTGCCCCTGCCTCGTGGGGCATCTGCCAGGTATTACAGCTTCTCCCTCCTCAGTGGCCCCTCTCAGTCCCACTCTCCTTTCCCCCCAAAGACACGGACGCCAAGTCAGGGAGGCCTGGCACTCATTCACAGGCCCCAGGAGAGGGAGTGCAGGAAGAGAGGCCTCATGGCTTCCCAGGAGGCTTTGTCTGCAGGAATCCCCCCAGGACAGAGGCCATACCAGAGGGGGAGGACTCACCTGGCAGAAAGGCGCCAAGGAGGGACAGGTGGGCAGTGCCGGAGGGGAAGCCAGGCCAGGAAGAGACTGGAGGGGCCGCAAACCCGGGCCTGACGATCCCCCTCCCAGGCTGCCGGCCCGCCCACTCGCCTCCCTCACGGAAACACAGCAGAACCTGGAGCACCAGCTCTGCCTCCTGGGACCATCCCCCCCCCAAGACCCACTGGGACCCTGGTCGATTCTTTAAAAGGTTCCTGGAACCTTCGTGGAGGCTGCTCTACCAAGGTGAACCTCCAGGGGGAGACCATTCTTCAAAGGATGGAGGCGGCTTCCATCCGTTAAGGGAGTGAAGATGCTGGCCTCACCCCCACTGCCCCCACGGCTGTCGGGTCTGGGCGGACAGAGATGGTTCTTGTTCATCTTTGTGGCCCGGGGACCCAGGTGGCACTAGGTGTTCAGCAGGTGGACGATCGAGTGGCTGGAGGCTGAAGACTAACTTGTATCTATCTCTGCTTCTTTTCCAAATCCCACTACAATGGCAATAAATGCATTTTTGCCCGGCCGGCGTGGCTCAATGGTTGAGCGTTGACCTATGAACCAGGAGGTCACGGTTCGATTCCTGGTCAGGGCACATGCCCGGGTTGCAGGCTCAGTCCCCAGTAAAAATAATAATAAGAGCATTTTTTTTAAAGCTACACACCCACAGAGGGTGGGGGGGGCGGGGGAAGACAGCTGATTAGAGGCTCTAATAAAATTGTGGAAAACAGGAGGCAGATGGACAAGCGGTAACTGATCAGAGTGCAGAAAGTTGAGACTTAAATGCTCTCAAGGAGCAGAGGACGTGGAGGTTGGCACAGTCACAAAGCCCATCCCTGCCTCCGGAGGCTCAGGAGGGGGTGCAGAAGGTGCCCCGAAGGCTGGGGTGCAGGACCTGGGGCGGATATTAGAGGACAGGAGGGAAGTTAGTGGAAGGAGCCACGGCCTCCCCAGTGCCCTCCGCCAGGCGGCAGAGCAGGCATCTGCCCCTCCTGACCCCGGCCGAAGGTTATGCTCAGGAAGAGAGAGGACTGTTCTGAAAACTGGGGCGTTAAGGGAAGAGTCAGACACGCCCCCTTCTCCAGCTCCTTCCCATGCTGGCTCCCCAAACACCCACAACCAGGCAGGAGAGACCTGGTACAGACGCCAAGGGGCCTGCTTGCAGCCCAGACCACCAGACAGCGGAGGAACCCCCTAAGGTGAGAGAGAGCCTGCAGCAAACAGAAGAACCTGGGTCCCAGGAGGGCCTCCTGCCTCCTTACCATCTCCTTCTCAGAGAAAGGCACCCAGGCAGCCTGGCGGGCACTGGCTGCTTGTCGGAGTCCCTGGACACCCTGTCCTGCTATCTCACACCCGCCCAACCTCCTGTGCTCTGGAAGTATGCGCCACTGAATACGCCATGCCACCTAGAATGGGACAGGACTCCTAGAAATGAATCCGGTTGGATTCACTCAGGGTGTGCTGGTGACTAACAACGGACTCTCTGGGGAAAAGAAACCCCACTTTGCAGGTGTTTGCTGGTTTCAGTGGTGTAAATACTCCCACAGCCAATTTCCAGCTGCCAACAGGAGTCGTTGATCGCGGAGTTGGGAGGAGAGGCCCACAGTTGGCTCTCACGGGCTGGTCAGAGCTGGCCTCAGCCCCCCACCATTCACCCTCCCTGGCAGTGACTAGGGACTCACTCAGCCCACTGCTATGGTCACATACCCTCTGTCTTCATTGCTTTTCTCCATGATCCGTGGCCCACGGGCCTAACCAACCTGGGAGGCAGCTCCCCTGGACCAGCGGAGAGACAGGAAGTCCATCCC